TATGGAAATCAAAATCAAGGCAAACTCCAAAAATGGATAGGAGTCTCTTAGGTTTTGCTCCAATATTTTCCTTCCCTACGACAGGATTATTGGGGTGGATCTCTGAGGTCCGAAAATGTTGGGTAACACTTAGGAGGAGTTGTTAAGTTAGTTAGCAATTTCCTGACCAAATAAACGATGACTAAAATTTATAGGAATAAGAGTTATTCTGGTGTAAAATTTAGTTGAGAATGTCTCAATTTAGTGAAGGAGTACCTGTCCGCCCTACGGTGGCTGTTGCTCCAAATCACTGAAGCGTCGTTGCAAAACAATTTTGTTAGGGTGCTTAATTACTTTTGCTAAAATTTAGATTGGGTTTAAAAGTCTAATGCATGAAACTAATATAGATTTGTTTTTACTTTCAGCATGTCTACTTCTATTATTGCACTCTTAGCCGCGCAAAGACTTAATGGCGAAAATTACAAACAATGGAAGTCAAACCTAAACACTATTCTCATGATAGATGATCTCAGGTTCGTTTTGCAAGAGGAATGTCCTCAAGCTCCAATAGTCTAGAAAAGCGTAAGTTTCATTCTATAATCTTTAGGTAAAAGCTTGGGACATCAATCTTCGTTCTTGGTGATTGTCGTGTCTTCGGAGATAATATCTTTAAAGTTTTCCATTTTTCTATAGACAACATTTTTGGCGTTGGTTTATGTTGTCTTTTGGGACGAACGACATCAACATTTTCGACAATGTTTTTTTATTTCATTTTTCGTGTTTGTACCATTGCTTTTATCTGAAAAAAATTATTTCATATATTAGTAGTATATCAGAAAACATATTAGAGGTAATCTGTTCGAAATAATTGGTATATATCATAGTTATATCAGAAGTAAATCAATTTCATATCATATGTATATCAAACATATATCACATATATATCAGGAGTATATCTGTCAATCATTAATATATCATAAGTAAATCAATAGTATATCAGAAGTCAATCAGTTCTATATCACCTATAATATTATATATCACAGTTATATCAAAAGTAAATCAATTTCATATTAGATGTATATGAAACATATATCACATATATATCAGGAGTATATCTGTTAATCATTAATATATAAGAAGTCAATCAGAAGTAATTTATTGTTGGTTCGGACCTGCAGGGTATACTTGTAATTTAGAACGTGGGCCTTCGTTTTTTTGCAAAAAAAAAATAATATATTTGAAAAACTCAAACCTTGTTGCTATTTTGCTTATTTTTCTAACTTTTTTGGTCATATGTCAAGTTGCCCCAAGACGCTAGGGAGAATTTTTTCGATTGAAGTTAGAAAGTAAATTTGAGATTAAGGGGGAGAAAAAGATTAAAAGAGAGTATATTAGTTAGAGAAATTTAAAAGGAAATCTTGGAAAGAATATTAAAATGTTAAGAGTGAGAAAAGTGAAAAATAAATATAATATATAGATAGAAAAAAAAATCTTCTAAAAAAAAACAATTGAAAGATAAAAATTTCAGAGAGAATATTTTTAGAAAGAAATTTTAAAAGGGAAAAAAACTTTAAAGGAAGAAAAAAAGACAAGTCCGTAAGAGAATGTGTTGAAGTGAAATTTTGAAAAATAGAAATGAATTTTTAAAATTTATCCACGATTTCAACCCTGTTTTTTAAATAATAAAAATCCAAAAACCAAAAATAAGAAATGAAAGTTTGGTTCTCAGTTTTGATTTTTTATTTTTTAAAAACACTTTTAAAGTGGTAAGTAATCATTTTGAAGATGTATGAAACGTATGGCCTTGAACGTGTAAATAAATGAGTATTTTTCCTCTTTTTTTTCCCAAAAGTTCAAACATATGAATTAAGTGGCAAAATCAAGACGATCAAATTTCATTTTTAAAAATACCAATTTAAAGAAAGTAATTCTCTTAAAAATTTTCAACCTCTGAAACACAATCTCAAATTATAGGTTGCATTGAGTTGCATACCATTTTTCTGAATATACATATAAGAACATAGATGGAATATTTTCTCTCTCATTCTCCCTCTTCATTCTTCATCTTCTTCTCTCTCCCTCATCTCTCTCGGTGGTTCTTCTACCTTCTCTCTCTTCTTCTATCTTTTCAAATTTTTTAGATTTTTACGAATTCAAACTTCTCCTTTATTTTCTTCAAAATTTTTAGAATTTATGGATTTCAAACTTTCTCTTTCTTCAAATTTTCTTAAAATTAAAATGAACAGACTTTTTAGATTTTTCTCTACCTCTCTCCTATGTTTCATTTTTTTTTTCCGTTTCGCATGAATCAAGGAAAAATCTCTTTCTCCTCTGCTTATTTTTTTTTTCAAAAAACTTTTGAGTATTCTTTGACCAACAAAGTAAGCTATTTTGGTTACGTACAATATAAGAAACTTCATTTTTTTCTAATTGAAAAATACTCATATTATGGAAAAATCAAACGAGATTGAAGAAAGAATGAGAGAGAAGAGAGAAAATGATAACAAAGAGAAAGAAAAAGAGAGAAGAGGAAGAGAAGAGAGAGGAGAAAAAAAGGAGAGAGAGAGAAAAGAAAGAAAGAGAAGAGAAAAGCGAGTAAAAAAAAAAGTGAAATCCTGGACAAATCCCGGACTGAGTCCGGGATCGCAGTCAGTCTGGGATTTGTCCGGGATTGCAATTTTTCTTTTTCTTTTTCTTTTTTGCGAATTTAAAAATATTTTCAAAATTATCTTTTCAAACTTTTTTTAATTTTACAAAATATTTCTACATAGTTTCAATTTTTTTTTAATACCTATGCATTTATGTTTAGCATTGTTGAATTGCGTGGATTTGTTTTTACTTTTTTGAAAAGATTTGCGTAATTTTGTTATTGGAAGATTAAGATAGGAGAGGATTTTTGTTAATTTGCTGAATTAGTAATTGATTCTCAAATTAAAAAGATTTTAGTTTTGAAAACATTGAAAACTCATTTCAAACATTTCCAAAATTGAGGAGTCAAATTTAGATTACGTATCTACTCTCTCTTACAAAAGTTTTGAAATGAGTTTCCTAAATTGAAATGATAATCTTTTTAATTTGAGCATCAATTACCAAATCAACAAAAATTCTCCCATATCTTAGTATTCCAATACACGCAAATCTTTTCAAAAAAGGAAAAAAATTCACGGTAACCAACTTAAATGCTCCACATAAATATATTGATACTAAAAAAACAAGAAAAAACTGAAAGAAAAAAGAAAAAGAAAAAACAGAAATAAAGGATTAAAAATAAATAAATAAAAAAATCAAAGAAAAAGAAAAGAAAAAGAAAAAACGGGGGATTAAAAAAAAATCAAAGAAAATTCTCTCCTCTTCCTCTCGTTCTCTTTCTCGCTCTCTCTCTCCTCTCTCGTTTTCTCTCTCCTCTCGTTTTCTCATTTTAGTAACATATATTGTATACAAAAAATCAAAGAAAAAATAGAGCGAGAAAGAGAGAGAGAATTTACTTTGAAAAGATTTGCGTGAATTTTATCATTGGAATATTAAGATATGGAGAACTTTTGTTGATTTGGGAATTGATTCTCAAAGCGAGAGCGAGATCACAACTTTTTCTGCACTTATTTTCAAATCTACTCTTAAGACTTGTGTATATGCATTTATGATTTTTTGAGACAAAACCGAATGGACCTACTCGTGTGTAGGCGTTTCTAATTTTGTTGGAAAACAAAAAATTGAATAAAAAATCAATGAGGAATGGTTGTAGAAAGAACAAGAGAGGAAAAAGTGAGGCGAAAAAAACAACCTCCTCTTTTTCGATCTAGATTGTGAACAAGGTCTTCGAATGGCGAAAAAAACGAGATGATTTCTTTCATTTCTTCGTTGAAGATAAAGAAAGTTTGCGGGAGAGAGAAGAGAGAAAAGGAACACGAAGAAAGATGAGAGAGAGAAGAGGATGAAGAACGAAAAGAACAGAAGGGGAGAGAAAATCATATTCAAATGAAAAATAGAAAATAGAGGGAAAGTAAAAATTTATCTAAAATAGTGAAATAACATAATCGTCATTTGATTTATTAGATGATTGTCAGCAAATGTTTACAAATCATAAAAATGAGTAGAATGCCACATTTCATAATGGCCCTGCCCAATTTTCCAACATAGATACCATTTTCCCAAAATACATAGGAACATAGATACCATTTTCGCGACATACATATAGGAACATAGATACCATTTTTCTGACACGTTTACAAAAATAGATGCTATTTTCCTCCGTAGGAACAGATACATGATATAGAATGTCAATATAATTGGAAAATAGGGCTCCATCTATTTTCTTCAAGAATTAATTCAAAGTTCAGCCAACTAAAAATATATTTCCTATTTTCTTTTCTTGCCTCTACAGTCAATTACTGAAAACACAAACCACTTGACCTTAGGTATAAAATGTGTCAATAGCAACTTTGGGGGAAACAAAATACATTAATATTAATCCCCAAACAGAAGTTTCAACTCAGGTTTTACATACATTCGTATGGACATCACTATGGTGACAATAAAATACATTTCTATTGAACCCCAAAAAATTTTCAACTCGGGTTTTATATACATGGCTATACGCTATGAAACGCTGGTTAATCAACAAGTTCTAACCCTCAAATCTCTCTTTAATCTTTTTGGCAAAACATTCAATTGGGCAAGGTCGTGTTCTACACCTGCCTTCTTACCCTTAACTCTCTTCGACGAATTGCTACCACCTTTCCTAAACTGAACGCTATATGTTAAGTTACTTGCCATGGAGATGAGGGGTCTGCCCCACTACACTAGACTACATGTATATACTACACAAAAGGCTCAATCCGAAAAGTACTCCACCCCTATGAATCCCTATACTCGATTCCGATTTCGGCTTCAGTCAATTCATCGTCATTTTCGTTTAATAGATTGTCACAATGCATCAAAAGCTTGTCTGCTAGGGGAGGAATACCTGGGTTGCGCCCATCATTATACATGTGAGCATTATACATTATCTGCCATACGTCAGTTCTGAACTCGTCCCTGGTCTTGTATTCCAACTTTCTAACCTTCTCTCTGATGGTAGAAAGATCCATTGGACGCTCTATGATATCGAGGTAGTCAGGAGCCTCCTTCTTGGACACTGGTTTTAAAAAGAGATAAGAAATTTCGAAGTTGTCTTTGAGGGCCTCCACAATCCGCTCCAAAATATTCGACAAACCGACCTGCAATAAAAAATTACCAGAGTTGTAGATGAATGTAGTTATGTGAATCGCACGAGGGTAGAGGAAAATCATACAAAGCACAAAAATACCTCTCCCCCTCTACGGCGCTTTGTCGATGATGCGTGCTCTGCACCATGTCTTCCCAACTCAATAGGCTTCCTTTTCACAACGCGATCTCGTTCTGGAATCCTTTGTCTTGATCTGGGGTCCTCCATATAGTCATCCATTATTTCCGGGATTCGTTTCTTCTTCTTCTTCTTTGCTTTTATACGTTCTTCTTCCTCCTTATCACTTCTAATGCTGGCTTCAAATCTTCTAATCTCTGCTAACTTCTCTTGTTCATCCCGCATCCTCATTTCTTCCTTGTAAACCCTCCTCGCCTTCTCTTCTCTTAGTCTCTCTTCATTTTTCTGCCTCTCTTGCTTTTCCCACCATATTTGATCTTCTCTAACTTTCTTTTTTCCAGACTCAGCTGAACTCATGCTTCCAGGCCTTGTATGATTTTCGAAACTCGACAGCTCAACTATTCTTTTAGTCTTCCTGTATTGCATACCAGCACTCGCATCAAAACCCATCTGATCCAAATCAATAACCTCTTTTGGCCTTTTGATTATGAGTTTTTTGTTAAGCTTCTCTCTTTTTGTTTCAGCTGGTGACCTTACTACGGTGGCCGAGCGTCTGGGAAATTCCATTCTGTCTCTATCAATACTTGTTGGTGGTCTTATTACAATGGAGGGCTTATGAGCTTCAGCATAAACTTTTTTAGCATCAGGAGGTCGTATCACAATTGAGGGTTTATGAGATTCAAACTGAATGTCTTCATTTCTCTTCTTAGAAAACGTGATCTTGTTAACCTTGACAACAGATTTTCCAGTTTCATTGTCAGAATTGAATGGCAAGTCGGAAGTCTGCGGCACTCCAGGACTAAGATTGTCAGAAAGCTTCTCACTCGAGCTGCATTTGAATTTGACTGGAAGCATTTTTGCCATCAATGTAGATTTTTCACCTTCAAATGTCTCAGTTGTAGAAATTTTTGTGATGGTTTTAGGTGTAACCTTCTTAGTGTGAGCTTTCTGATGGGATTGGCTTGATGGGTCCACGGTATTCAACTTTATAGATACTTTTTCTTGATCTGTTGTCTCCGGTGTTTCCATATCTTCTCCATACTTGGGGCAGTTCTTGTTTGTCCGCATGTGTCCAAACTGAGGGTAAAAGAAGTCCAAAAAGGTTATCATATTGAGGGTTCAGAAGAAAAATACTTACATGTGATGACCTATTTCTATGCCGACAAAAATTGTCAGCTCATTATTTAAAAAAATATTTATTTTTGGATTTTACTTTAGTTGCCAAACATTTAACGATAATAATGACTTCAGTTAAGGATGGAAATTTTAAACTAAATACTTCACGTACCTGACCACACTTTCCACACACGAAGCTTTCTCGAGCTGATTTCTTCTCCTTGAAATTCTGATCAAGAAGAGGTTAAATTAATGTGGTTCGACTAGCATATCAAAGTAATGATGAAAAAACCACCAGTATCAACCTTATTCCCAGCCTAATCCCTCCCGTCACCAAAACTCCCATCACCAAAACTAACGATTAATGTAAAAACAAAACAAAAACAAAAAAAGAGAGATAGAGCAGAAACAAATTAAACAGGAAGATACAAGAATTTAAGCTACTACTTTTTACCAAAAAATTACATAATATAAATGATGATGAGAGCGATTGCTTTTTCCTTATTAAACTACAACTAATTTGGCACATTAGATAAGCATGTATCATATTGGCATGAAATATGTATTTTACATTAGAAATGATCCAAGACTGACGCACATGTGGTTCAGAAAAATTCAACAATTGGTATTATAATGAAACTTCGCAGAATAATACAGTAGCAAACTATCCTTTTAAAATCTGACAGTTAAAACCAACTCCCTAGTCCAACTACTACAACTCAAGCTGACTAACAAAAAGACATCTTTGGTTCATTTTTACAGACCCCAAAAACCGGGGTTGTGCACGGTTCTAGCCAAAATTAAAACTATAGTACCTTGGTAAAGCTAAATCGAGAAAACCATCTTTTCCCCAAAACTGGTTCAGTTCAAACTGGCTTTGCTTGGTTCAAACCAGTTCAGTTTGAACTAGTTATAGTGAGTTCGGTAGGTGGTCGAGAGAAGGAAGGAATGAAGCATTTTGAGCAGCCACCATAGGTTTGGAGAGGAGTTTTCAGCATAGACGGGAAAAGAGAGGGTCAGTCAGAGGGAGTGCTGAAGGGAGAGAGCAGTAAAGAGAGGATTTCACAAGTCACGACTTAAAAATTGGGTGGGCCGAGCTTGGGATATGGGGACAAAGGAGGGTTGCTTGGGTTGGAGGTATTTTTCATTTTAAAATTTTTATAATTATTTCAGTTTTATTCACTTTTTGTTTCCTATTTAAGGAAAAAAAAAAACGAAACCAAAACCGAAAATAGTGGCCTTTTAAAAAGACAAACCGAGGAAAGTAAATTTTTTAAAAGGGACTAAACTGACTGGTTCAGCTCCTTTTCGTTTGGTTTGCTTTCTCATTTTCCTCCGCTCTCATCACACCCCTACTCAAAATATAGGAACTGATCCCATGTTGATAACCTAAAGAAAAAATGCCTGGTGGATGATAAATATAAAAATCAGATACATTAAAGGTGGGCTAATATTGAAATCGGCTGGAAGATCAATAAGTTACTCATCAGAATTGATCTATTTTCGTTTGTGCTTATAGTAAATTGCTAATTGAATCATCATGTAAACTCCCACAGCAAATGGCTCGTTATAAAAGAATTCAACATGGCGTCATGCCTAAAATAGCTTTAGGGGGGAAGGATGGTCTGGCCAGCCCAAACCCATGTAAAACTCAGCCTTTTACAGCCTCTCTGACAAAGATATGGGATGCACGGAATCGTAACTGATACTTGGACTCACGAGATTTATTTCAGAAGTCTATGATAGAAAAAGAAAAGGAAAAGCCAATGCCAGTGGACCGATCATCCTCCCTCTTGGGCTCTGAAATACTTGAATGCTCAACCTACTCAATACTCAAATTGTTTCTTTTTGACAGGCTGCAACGTTGAGCTGTAATCAGTTCCGTTCCTCAACCCTATTTCAAAGCCTATTATTAAAAGCCAAAGTAATAAAGATCAATTAAAAAGCAGAGACAATCCATCTTTACCTCCAAAGACTACATCACACTTAGAAAGCACATCTCCAGCCTAAAAGCATGAATCTAAAGAAAAAGGAAATTCCTAATCCACTCCAACAGTTGGTTCACTGTCAGGCAAAAGTATATCTTACTATTGCCCTCTCTTTGAGGCTAAATGTTCAAGCTTCTACCCTCAGGCCTTTGTTATCAAAGAAAAAGTGGGCCGATCAAACTTCTAACATTGAAACAGCAAGGGAATCTCCACCAGTATTAGTCAAGTCTCAAGAAGCTTTTCATCCTCTTTATCCTACAATTTAAGATGATTCCAAAAAAGAGGGTCAGTCTAACCCCAGAGCCGAATGAGGGTTGCCCAAGTCAAAGAAAGACACAGATCTTCAACACTAGGAGAGGCTACATCCCCAAACAGGCGTAGCAAGATGGCCTTAAGGACGATGACTTTTCCTTAATGCAAATTACTAGGAAATCCTAGTTAAGACAAAATATCCAAAGGGAATAGAGAGCTCAGAAATATAACCTCTTCTATTAACGAGAAAGGTTGTTCTGAGCAACATTCCAGTCTTTAATTCTATAGGAAGATATGTTCCGGATAGGTTCCCCCGACAAAAGAGCCATAATTAAAAATCTTATCCTCCTTATTAGTCCTGATGTTGTCGTTCTCTTTAAGCCCAAACTCAAGTGTACAGAAAACAAGCTTACCAAGTCAATCTGAAGTTTTAAAATAATTGAATTGGCCTCCCAGGATGCCCTAGATCTCCTTTAGGGTCATTCTTCTCCTTTGGGATGATCTAGCTACGAAAGCCTTAGAGGTGGTGGAAGGTAGTTCCCTCTATTAATCTGGAGTTGAAAGATGGGCTTCTATTAGTGGCTTTCTCTGATATCTATGTCCTCCCTCAAGTCATGGCCGAAAGTACTCTAGCAAGAGGTGAATGAATTGGAAAGGTTTTGCTGTCATTTTTGGCTGCTAGGTGGTATTAATGTTGCGAAACCAAATGATGAAAAGTTTAGTGACATCCCTATTCAAAATGACCATTTCACTAAGTCAAACCTTAGAAATAATGTGATCCTCTCCCACCCACAGATAGATTTACGATCACCCTTGATTGGGAGGACAAGCTCCAGCAATCCAAAGTTTGCGAGCTTTCAAGGCCTAACCTCAGACCAGTAGACCACTTTCTCGTCCTCTTCTTGAAATTAGCTATCTCATCTGGGCGGCCTGCCCCTTTCTGTTCTAGAAAATATGGCTGTCTAATCCTAAATTCTAATCCTAAATTCTAGAGCCTTTAAAACAAATAGTGGAATGATCATTGACCCCAAGAGGGCGGCTCCATTGGTAAAGGACTTGGATTCAAGCCAGGGATTGGCTGAGTCGCCACTTGGAGAAAGTTACCCTTTCTGGTTTCATTAAAGGCTTTGCTTGGTAGGAACTATTTCCTCTACGCCCTTGCCTATAAATTGTCAAGTCACCCCTTCAAACGCTTCTTCATTGTCCAATCCTTATTCCAAAATTGATATGAATTATCCGAGGATAATTTTTTCAGGTTAAACACTTCTATGGTAAGGTTAAGCACCCTTTTCCATTTTCTTGGCTCTAGCTACGACCTTTATCAGGTAGTTCTCCAGTATTGGATCAGCGGACTATAGTCTAAACCTTGGACTGAGATTATTGTAGATACTAAATTTGTAAAAATTTATTAAAACTTCTACTTGACAAAAAACTTGATACCTCTCGTAAAGAATATGATCCTTCTTTTAAAAAAATTATGTACCATCCTGAGCCCTAGCACGAACCATTTAGGTAACTATCTACTTGGGTAACTACTGTGCGAACTTCGTATTTGGAATGTTAATGGTTTTTCCTCAAGGTTCTAACCAGGGTTTGATTGTGAAATTTCAGTATGTCCAATAAATAAAAAAAAATTAAAATATTTATCACTCGAGTTTAATTGTTTAAAAATTGTTTGAAGAGCCAAGCATCAAAATGTCACACATTCATTATTTGTCTTATATGTATTCATTAACCGTCCAGTAGTGGGATTAACTTCTCTATAAATAGAGTGTTAATCCATTTCCACCTAAAGGAAGTTAATCCCACTAATCGAACTAAACTCGTTAACAGAATCAACCAACTTAAACAAAATTACAATACAACCCCAGTTAAACACATAATATGCAATGTTTTAAAAATCGTTTGAGGCGCGCCTTGAGGCGAGGCGGACTTGAGGTGCCTCAAGGCTTACGCCGGTGCAACATAAAATGAGGCTTCCGCCTCTAAAGATGGAGGCGTGCTTATGCCTCTGAGGCTTGAAAGGCGTAAGCCTTAAGCTCCAATGGTGGAATTATACAAAAAGACTTCATCCGGTGGCTTTTGACAGTATTTGACTCATTTATTGCTTAACTTTCTTTTCCTTTGTGCTACTGGCTTGTTTTACGGTGGTGGAAAGCAACCAATTTTTTTTTTTGTCTGTTTTGTTTTCTCTTTCTTTTATGTGATACAACTGCCAGCCCAACTGCCAGCCTTCCTTATTTCTACTGTTATATGGATTACAAAATTTTCAACAATTATTACATCGAAATATTTTACAAGTTTTTTAACTTTGGTTAAGTAAAGTTTTCCGTTCTAACTTCTAATAAAAGTAATTGATGTGTTTTTTCATGTGTTTTTTCTAATTTTTCTTTTCTCCATGTTTTTCCTTTTTGTTTTTTAATATTATTCCTTTTTATTTTACAAATTTTTTAGAATTAATTTTTAGTTCTAAATGATGTATTTCATACTTCTATATGAACACTATCATATTAATAATACAAAATTTTACATTCCTATCATTTTTTTACTTACGCCTCACCTCTTCATGAGAAAAAGCCTCAAACCCGCCTTACGATTTTTAAAACATTGATAATATGCTACATCAGTACTATTAGTATTTGGTAGATAGAAAAAGTTATGTAAATCATGCTAGTGAACGAAATGAGAGCCTCAGTATTCAGCAATGAAAACTAGATCAATTCTACTGATGAAGGTTGGGAAAAGTGTGGCTACAGGTTTCTAAAGTTGCTCAAAACCTATCCACGATGAACCAAGAAAAGAACTGATTCTACCATAAATTGTATCCCGCAATGGGAAAACCACCAAGGATGTGAATTAAAAGTTATCCCCATAATTAAGGATAAACCCTATAACTTAGGCTAAGGTTAGGCCTATTTTTATTAGTTTGAAAACTAGAATATCTGCAGAATATAAAAACAGTAAGAGAAACAAGTAAATCCCATTGTCCCACCTACAGATAAAAATATAAAGAAGAATCAACTAACTCACCTTGACTTTGTCTCCTGATATCTTCAGTTTCTTATTGAGTAGGCTCATCTCTGAACTATAATTTTTCTTCATGGGTTTGAACTTTCCAGACTTGTCTTTTCTATTAATAATACTTTCCACCTGCCATCATGTCACATGGCACTAATTATCTATAAATCTACTTTAGATGTGAGGAAATAAAATCTTCCATGTTTAAGAAGGCAAGGAAATAAAATAAAATGCACATGATGATATATTAATACCTCCTTTTGATCTCTTATATTTTCTTTAGAAGTATAGGCTATATCAGGTTGGGCAATACTAACAAGATGCCTGGTCTGCTGAGGAATCTCATGACCGAAACTAGCTTGTAGGCCTGGCACCAATATTGCTTCTCCCATGACTTTATTCTTCTTCTTCTTCCTCCTCCTCTCAGCCTCATCTGCCAAAAATATTCCACGTTAATGCTACATAAGGGTATGAATCCTCCCATCTTTAACTCCAAAACAAGTATGCTATTTTAGGAGTAATAAAGTTTCGATGATAGGTGGGATCGGATGCATTCAACTTATGAGCGCTTGGAATCTCCCAAGTTTTCACCACTGATGTATGCCATGCCCAGAGAAAATATATGACTAACCAGGCAAAAGTAGATACAAAACTTACTAATTTAGTTTGGAAGTAAAACTTCTTACTAGAACAATGGGAAGGAACTCCACGTCTTTTTTAAAATGAAGTTGAACTTTATAAAAGCTACATCTACACTTTTCCCTCCTTTTCATAAAGTGGATCAATAGAGGATGAGAATATTGACTTAAGTGAAGAGGTTTTTAATAAGATTCTACGGAAATGTCAATGATACACATAAAATGTTAATATCACCGAAAACTTTGGAAAAGTTTATAAAATTCAAAGGAACAAGATGTCAATATTTAAATGATATTATTGCCAACAATGCTGATAAAACACTCATTTATCACCAAAAAAATAACCATTCCATCAATGATAAGCAAGAATGATACAGAGAAACCACAGCCAAGATAAGCAAGTATGTAAAATTTTCCATGACAGAATATTCTAGAAGCTTATCATGCAAAACAAATACATCTCACATAAATTTTTAATAAATCACTATACAAGAGTTATCCATACCGTCCATCAGCAACCTGCACAACTCTGTAGCTTCAGCCACTTCATCTTCAATTTCCTCTTCTGTTTGAGCAATGGATGGACGTCTCCTCATTTTAAGACCCTTGACCCCATCAGTCTTTTCATGTCGGATCTCAAATGTATCAACTTCATCTTCAAATTCCTCAGCATCCAGCAAATTTTCTAAATCTCCAGCAAAGGAATCCAGGTCACTATTTCCTTCAGAGTCACTCTCATTCTCAGCACCATCTGAGGTTGAAAGACTCTGAATTTGCCGCTCCCAAATTTCTTGACACTTTTCCCTCGTCTGACGCTGCAGTTGCAGAAAGGACATTCGCTGGCCACGTGCATACTTGCTGATGGTTGTTGGATCAACTTGCACCCCAGAAGCCGCTTGCTCACTTGAAAGCCTGCGTATCATAGCAATTCGGTGCCATCTGGTCAGTTTTGCGATCTGTTCCTCAGATACATCAAACTTGAGAAGAACCTGAAATATTAAACAAGGCGAAGATTTAAGGTAATTAGGTTTTTGTTAGCTATCGTAGTGAAAAGCTGACTGAAACTATTTCATTACTTATGTTGGGTGACATTGAAAAACTAATTATCTATTTTTATTGCTTACCTGGAAAACATTATTCTTTATTTCTTGTATTTTCCCCCTTCCATTTTCCTCCGCTTCTTCTATTCTCTATCCCCTCCCATTTTCTTCTGCTTCTTCTATTCTCTCCCCCCAATTTTATTTTTCCGCCCCCTTTCCTTCTGTTTCTTATATATTTTCCAACTTCCACAATTTCACTCTTTCTCTCTTCGTAATTTTAATTTGAACAAGGAAACAATGCCAAAGCTACTTCTGAACATATAGCTAAAAGAGAAACTTCCGACTCCATAACCAAAGGTGAAAATAACAGGATAAAGCAGAGAATGAGTATAAAGAAATTGACGTAATCATTTAATCACAAATAATGTATGTAATTAAGAGTGTGCATACATAAAATACAAAAGGCTAAAGAGATGATTTTTTGGTACACCTCCATTCTTAAAGAGTTCTTTATCTACCATAGAATTCTCAGGTGGAACATGAAAGTACTCTCACAAGACAGAATAAAGCTGAACACGATCTTTCAATAGATGAGAAGGTACCTCTTTTGCGGCATCCATGCTCAACCTACGTAGGTCAGCATCTGTTCCTGTAACTGCAGAGCTTCCTCGACTAGAAGCTGCTTTTTTCTTCAAAGATGCATTAGAAATAGGTGCTTTTGGAACTGAACGAACATAACTGAAACCAAGTCCACGGCCAGATGGATCACCAACACCTGTAATTTCCAACCGCTCTATATTTTCTTTTCCCTTTTTTTGTTGTTTCGGTTGGGGAGTTGGAGAATAAGGTTGTAAATTAGCAGAAATTCA